AACCAAACCTTCAAACATCCTCCTTCTAAAAAGAAACAAAACAAAATCCCTAAGAACAAAAAGAACCCAAAGCTTTATAAGACTGTCATAAGACTTGAGTGAGTGCATCCACGTGGGCAGCTTCTTCCGCAAGAAAAAGTGTTAATAGAACGGTCAAGAGGGACGGTTAGATTCTAGAGACTGGTGCACATCCTAACTTAACCAAATCTAAGGCGTCTTATCTAGTCAGTACTAAAGAGTTAAATAATAAATGACACACAAGTACCATACGAACAATCAAAACACACGAAGAACTAAATGAAAATCAAAACACACACAGAAATAGACAAACAATCAAAGCACACAGAAACTCACACACAGAACTAGACAAACAATCAAAGCACACAGAAACTCACACACAGAACTAAACAAACAATCAAAGCACACAGAAACTCACACATAGAACTAGGACTAATGGACATGCAGGCAGACAAACTTACTAAGTAAAAGACAGAGACAAGTACACAAATTAAGACTTACCACACTATACACTCATAGAGACGTACTAAACTCTTTTAGAGAGTTTAAGGAATGAGATTGAGAGAGAGAGAGGTGGGAGAGAAAGAAAGAGAGAGAAATAAAGAAAGAGAAAGAGAAAGATAAATAGAGAGGGGTAGATAGAGGAGGGAAGAGAGAGGAAGGGACATGAGAGAGATAGAAAGAGAGAGAGAGATAGAAAGAGAGAGAGAGAGAGAGAGAGAGAGAGAGAGAGAGAGAGAGAGAGAGAGAGAGAGAGAGAGAGAGAGAGAGGGGGGGGGAGAGAGAAAGGGAGAAAGATGGAGAGAAAGAAAGAGAGAGAGAGAGAGAGGGAGAGGGGAAGACATTCAAACAAACAAATGCACACATAAAGACTTACTTGACTCACCAAACACTACTGTCCTGACACATCAAGAGGAATCCAAAATCCGAGGGGTGGTCGTCGGGGCGGTCTTAGTGGCTGCTCATCAGTGAAGGTGCGCAGAGTGAGTTCCACACGCAGAACCTCAACAGATCGGCGGCGCTCCAGCGTTTGTTGGGGTCCTTACGCAGCAGCTGGCGTAAGATCCTCCTGTACGGCTCCTTAACGTTCTTGCACTGGTCTGAGAAGGCCAAAAGGTCTTTGATGCCTACTGAGCGTTGCCTGTAGATCAGCATCCACATGCACACTCCCAGGCTGTACATATCCAGCTGTGGAGGGGAAGAGAAGAACAGTACGGAGATTAGTTGAGCTTGATACAAATATCTATCTATATGTGTGAAGGGAGGGAGAGAGAGAGAGAGAGAGAGAGAGAGAGAGAGAGAGAGAGAGAGAGAGAGGGAGAGAGAGAGAGAGAGGGGGGGAGAGAGAGAAAGAGAGAAAGATGGAGAGAAAGAAAGAGAGAGAGAGAGAGGGGAAGACATTCAAACAAACAAATGCACACATAAAGACTTACTTGACTCACCAAACACTACTGTCCTGACACATCAAGAGGAATCCAAAATCCGAGGGGTGGTCGTCGGGGCGGTCTTAGTGGCTGCTCATCAGTGAAGGTGCGCAGAGTGAGTTCCACACGCAGAACCTCAACAGATCGGCGGCGCTCCAGCGTTTGTTGGGGTCCTTACGCAGCAGCTGGCGTAAGATCCTCCTGTACGGCTCCTTAACGTTCTTGCACTGGTCTGAGAAGGCCAAAAGGTCTTTGATGCCTACTGAGCGTTGCCTGTAGATCAGCATCCACATGCACACTCCCAGGCTGTACATATCCAGCTGTGGAGGGGAAGAGAAGAACAGTACGGAGATTAGTTGAGCTTGATACAAATATCTATCTATATGTGTGAAGGGAGGGAGAGAGAGAGAGAGAGAGAGAGAGAGAGAGAGAGAGAGAGAGAGAGAGAGGTAGAGATATATTCAAAAATAATTTCATATATTCTAATAGCCTTTATCTCATTTTAAACATGCATACATTTATATCAATACAAACACGTTTTAGATCAGTTTATGTATACATAATGGTACACACATACTAAAAGAAAGAGAGAGAAGTGTGGTGGCGAGTGAGGGAGAGTGAAAAATAAAGAAAGAGAGAGTGAGAGAGAGAAAGAGATAGATAGATAGACATATAGATAGATAGATAGATAGATAGAGGATAAAGAAGATAAAGACAGACAAAAATGTACATTTTACCAAAGTTTCTGTATACATATATAATGTTATTATGCACACACATAGAGAAACGAGAGAGAGAGATAGAGAGAGAGAGAGAGAGAGAGAGAGAGAGAGAGAGAGAAAGAGAGGGAGAGATAGAGAGAGAGAGAGAGAGAAAGAGAGAGAGCAAGAGAGTGAGAGAGAGAGAATCTAAAGGACAAGAAAACAAACCAAAAAGAGAGAACAAAAAAGAAACTCATTCTTACCTTGAAAGGACTCATAGGCCGCCTTTTCCTTGTCTCGGGTCCGCTATAGCCGGGTGTAGTCCTCCACTTCATCACCATCGTGGAGCTGTCGCTTGCCTGTCTTGCGATTCCAAAGTCTGCCAGAACAGCACGGTCCTGGTCATCCAAGAGAACGTTTCTCGGCTTGACGTCTTGGTGGAAGATGTGGAGACCGTGGATGTACTGCAGAGCGCTGGCCACGTCGAGAATGTGTCGGAGGATCCGTGGTTCTTCCACTGGGTGGTCGGACGACATAGTGTCGCGAAGGGTGCCGTTCTTGAAGTATGTCGACAACATGAAGCCGTGGTGATCATCCATAGCAAACGCCATCATCTTGAGAATGCGGGGGTGGCGCAGATCGCGAAGGAAGCCGACTTCAGAGAGAAAGTCGCATCTACACCCCTCCGTCTCAAAAGTTACGATTTTCACCGCTACTTTCAACGACGAGTTGTGTTTGGCCGAGGCCAGAACAACCTCTCCTACGGCGCCACTCCCTAGACAGGGGCCTCTCACAAGGTTGAAGGAGTTGAAAAAAGCGTCGTGCTGTTCAACGGCATCCATGCTGGGTCGTGCAACTTCGGTGATATGAAACGATGATACTTTCCACACACGATGCGTATCCTCGGAACGTCCAGAGAAAAGTGACCACATGCTGACCAGCGTCCCTTATATACTCAGCTTGCTGGTTGGGAAGTGATTGAAGTTTTCTGTCCCTGATTAAGGAATTGTTACAGTGTTTTGACACGTTCTTAGAGGACCTGGAGGTGAGAACCAGAGTCTTGGCCTCCCTTTATCTATTGTTTCAAAAAAATGAAAAGCAGGTCTTTATGCAAAGTAAATATTATTGGAGTTTGGTGTCCACACCTAACGTTAACGAGTCTATTGTTTCTATTGTCTTGTGACCTCCCATGAGCTCGTGCCATCTGGTGAAATGCACAGACAAGGGGAGCAAACTGCGTATGTTGTAAGCACGGCGGCTTTCTTCAAAGACATGTCAACAGCTAAGCGTCTATTATAATGTACCTGGCTGGCTAGCCGGGAAGTGATTCAAGTTTTCAGTCTGTGGTTACGGCATTGTTGCGCTGTTTTGATAATGCCTTAGAGGGTCGGGAGGTGAGAACCAGGGCCTTTGCCTGCTTTTGTTAATTGTTTGTTTGTTTATTTTTGTTGTTTTTGAGAGGCCCTTGAGGCCTTCTAGTTTAAAAGGGATTTCTAAAAATCTAGATATTGTGCATTGTTTCGCTGGTAAATGAATGGCAATCAGTCAGGTCTTTCAAATTTGCAAAAAATGTTTCTGAAGTTCGTTTTGTTTGTCTGACTGAAACATAAGATAGAACAATGTGTTTTTTTAAAGGACTTACACATTTCTTAATTTACCAGTTTGAAAAGATATGTTTGTTGCAATAACATACATATAATTAAGAACTAGTTTTACTCTTCTGTTTCAATTCTACTTCGTCTCCCTCGGTGCCGAACTGATACATAAGACAAAGCAATTATTTTTTTAAAAGGAAAAAGCAATAGGAAACCTGTCTTTATACTCAGGAATAAATATTGCTGGAGTTTGGATTTCGTGCCTGACGTTATTTTATTGTCCACACCTAACGTTAACGAGTCTATTGTCCAATTCTCTGGTGACTGCCCATGAGCTCGTGCCATCTGGTGAAATGCTCAGACAAGGGGAGCAAACTGTGTATGTTGTAACCACGGCGGCTTGCATCAAAGACATGCCAACAGCTCAACGTCTATTATGTACCCGGCTGGCTGGCCGGGAAGTGATTCAAGTTTTCAGTCTGTGGTTACGGCATTGTTGCGCTGTTTTGATAATGTCTTAGAGGGTCGGGAGGGGAGAACCGGGGTCTTGTCCTGACTTTGTTAATTGCTTTTGTTTGTAGTTTTTTTTTGTCTGTTAGAGACTTTTGAGGCCTTCTAGTTTTTAAGTGATTTCTAAAGATATAGGAATATGCCTTGTTTCGTGGGTAAATGAATGGCAGCAAGTCAAGGATCTGAAATTTTCAATACATATTTTGAAAGTTTGTTTTGTTTGTCAAACTGAAATGAAAGCGAACACTCAGTTTTGCAAAAAGCTTCTAAATTTACCGGTCTGACGAAAATTTTGTTTGTTACAATACCATACAAATATTTCGGAACTAGTTTTGTATACCCCTATTTATGATTTAAAAATTTAGTTTGTCTCTACTGTAACGGCCAGATGCTTCGCCGCCTCAAGCAATAACCGAGGTCAATTTCCGTGAGGTGATAATTGTTATAGAGTAAGCTTCATTGTCTTTTTATTTGGCTGTTGTTTTCGGACCTAAGGTTCGAGTTTCAGCTCGGTCCGACGTTTTGTCCTTGGGAAAGGCGCTTTACAGGAATCTCCCAATTGTCTCGGTCCTTTCGGAGATGGACGTTAAACTCGGAGGTCCTGCCTCTTAAATTACCTACTAGTGTTGATAGGGGCATTAAACGTGTACCATTTCAACATTTTAAAAATCTGGAGCTAGCCCGGTTTGACTTGAGAGGGAGTGTCGAAGCCGCCTCCCAAGTGATCTATATTGTGTCGATGGAGGTGTCCCCCCCCCCGAAAAAAGCCTCCAGAATGATCTGTATTTCTTCTTCCCTTTGATCTTTTATCCTGTGGATTCCAATCCAACCCACAGTGTAGCTAACGATAATCCATCTTTCGATGTAAGATCAAAGTACGATCGATAGCTACTCCGTGGTGCTCCTGTCCACCGATCCATTGACTGCAGGCTACGGGCCCGGGTCTATATCAGGGTATATATCTCCGAAACCTCACACAATGTGTTCTGCTAACAAAATGATCTGCTTGCTTTTAGGGGAACTCTTATAAGGACCAATATCTCTGTTTCTCTCTCTCTCTCTCTCTCTCTCTCTCTCTCTCTCTCTCTCTCTCTCTCTCTCTCTCTCTCTCTCACTCTCTCACACACACACTCTCTCTGTATATATATCTCTGTCTATATATATATATAAAAATAAAATAAATAAAATTATATAATTTATATTTCTGTCTGTTTCAACCCCCCCGTCTCTCTTACCCTCTCTCTCTGTGTCTCTCAGACAGTGGAAGTCTATCTGTGTATCTCTCTCACACATACATACATTCACTCACATACCCACACACTCACACACACACACACACACTCACTCACACACACTCACATGCACACATCCGTACACATGTACACAGTTACACAAATGGGAGCACAATGGAGTCGCTAACTGTCACGCAATAACTCCCCCCGAATTCCAGGCTCCGCTTTACCGACGTCACAGAGTAGCTACCAACTTTTACAAAGGAGTTGCTACCACGTGTGGGATCCATCTGTATTAAACGTTGTTTGTTTGTTTGTTTGTTTGTTTGTTTGTTTGTTTGTTTGTTTGTTTGTTTGTTTGTTTGTTTGTTTGTTTGTTTGTTTGTTTGTTTGTTTGTTTGCGTGAGCAAAGAGAAGCACACCGACACAATAACGGTCATATAGTGCTGGGAAAAAGTAAGACAGGCAGGCAGATACAACAGAGGGCAAAGTAAAGACGTAGGACAAACCAGTGGCCCCTTCCAATCACCTGCAATACAATATCAGAATATTAATGAGTACATGCACATCGACATGTTTTTTTAATGAGGCAGAGATAGGGAAAATGAAGAGAAAGAGAGAGAGAGAGAAAGAGAGAGAGAGAGAGAGAGAGAGAGAGAGAGAGAGAGAGAAAGAGAGAGAGAGAGTGGGCAGACATGCAAACGGTTAGACAAGACCGACACATTTTTTTCACATGTCGTTGTTCGTTGCTCACATTGTAAAGAGTGTGAAAGGGTGAAAGAAAAAAAAAACACACAGGTGAACAAACATATACACTGGTAGGCTGAGAAAAGAGGAGGAGGGAGGGAGGAAAAGGTATGAAATATACAGAGAAGATGTAAAGTCTCCTCAGTAACAAGGTAGGACACCGGTGATCGGCCGCAGGGTCGTGAACAATAAATAACAAAGCTGTGACCTCTACCACAACTAATTGAAAAGCTTATTGCGTTTTCCGCTTTGAATAACGATGAAACAGCTCCTTCTTCATGGGTGGTTGGGGGTGGGGGTGCCCTGATGGTGTGGCTTGTTCATGACTCTTTCCTATCAAACATCTACCGCCCTTATCTCTTGTCTCTCCTCTCTTCTTTTTTATGTTTGTTACTCTTATGTGTATAACGCATCCAATCTTCATAAGTGATCACATAAGTGATTTCTTCTCTCTCCTCTCTTCTTTTTGTTTGTTTGTTTGTTACTCTTATAACACATCTAATCTTCAGCATTTATGTGACCTTATTGTGTTGCAAGTGGGGTAAAACACTTTACTAAAATAAGCTCAACAGCGTTCTCTGGTTTTAATTTTTAGACCAACGTGTTGGAAACGTCAGAGAAGTCCGCGGGTGCCACACAAAAGTCTGTGTTTGCAAACTATTGTGCTAATCTTTTGTAAGCCTCTTCATTACTGCGCAGACGTCATGCATTACTCAATGGGTGGTTTGCGGGTACTCTTGTGTAGTTTGCTCCTCCTTTCTCTACTTCTTTTGTATGTTTGTCACTCTCTTGTGAACTGTTATTTCCGGGGTGCCTTGATAGTCGAAGCAGACTTTGTGCTGTTGAGGCTAGAGTGGTGAGCAGAGTAAGCCTGATTCCCCGTTTGGATTTCTCTGTTGACATCCACCCCTTGGCGCTCATATGACTTTATGCAGTTGCGAGCGCAGTAAAACAGGAGATGACTAGTGACTTCTCTTTGTCTCCGGTAAAACCTTAGTAAACTAAACTAATCCTCGACACTTGTATGACATTATTGTGTAGCAAGTGCCGTACAACTCTTACTAAAACAAAAGTGCTCACTGGTGTTTTCCAAAAGTACTTTAGCGCCCTTTTTTCTATTAGCAAAGTTTGGAAAGATGTTATCATAGCTTGTGCAGTTACTTATTTTTGAATAAGGGAAAGTGGGTGGCTGGAGGGCGCCATTGGTAGGTCGTACTTCTTTATTTTCTCTCTAATGTTTCTGTCTGTTTGTCTTACCTTTTCCCGGCACTAAATGGCCATTACTGTCTCAATGTGCTTATATCTACTCAAACAAACAAACAAACAAAACTTAATCAGGGTAGAGCGCTATATAAATACCTTAATATGCATCTATTATTATAAATGGAACATAATGATAGGATGGTATGAATATTATGGTGTCCAATAAGCAGCCTGCATTATTCACAAATAAAGAGCCTTGGTGCTAAATAGTGTGTCGATGAATGGATGTTGGAGGGAGAAATTTAATAGAACAATATGAGTATGTGAGTGTTATTTTCTTTCTAGTTTGACATAAGCGTAGTCATTTTTTATACTTAAAAATGTAGTTATTGTGAGCGTTTGAACATTTCCTCTCTGCATTTTACGGGCTTGAGACCGTCACACCGAAGTGGGCTGCATTAAAAATGTTTTGACTTTCCGAAGTCTTTCCCAGAGGGATCCAGAGGGAGAAAATGGAGTTGGGGGGGGGTCTGAGGAAAATAAAACCTAGTAAAA